TATAAATCAAATTATAAAGAAAAGAATATTAAAATAAAATATTTAAAATATATTTCATAACTAATATATTATCCAAATATTATATCTCAATAGTTAATTATGAATAGAAGGGTGAAAGGTAAGATAAAGATTTCGTAGAATGGTGTACAAGTAAATGGATGAATTAACTCGATAAAAGGTCAACCAAATAAAGAACATTTAAGTTAAATAAAAACAATCTAACTAGCTCTAGGTACGCACTAACTTGATTAGAAACAAGATAATTATCTTCAAACAAAGAAATTAAATAAATTTAAATAATTGTCTGTGAAGACTAAATTATCGACCTTTAATATTATATTTAAAAATAATAATTAAATAGATTTTTATATGATTTATGACACCAATAATATTATGGGCCAAATTTATCGCGAAAATATGAAAGTAAATTAAATGAGATAAAAAATATGAACCCAAAAAAAAAAAAAAAAAAGTCAACATTTTGACTCTCTCTCTAACGTCGTCTGGAGTCATTCTCTCTCTTAGTCCGCGTTCTGGAACTTATTTCCCTCTCTTCCAAACACCTTCAAAAACCAGCAAAATTCCTTTTCCTTTTGCTTCTCCCATGGCGTTCACCATCCATTTATACCCCTTCTACCTTCTCTGAAATTCCCACGAATTCCTCTTCTTCTTCGTCTTCTTCTTCTTATTCAGCTATCTTGTTCCTTTTTCTCTGCGATTTCATGGAGTCTGATGCTGTTTCGAGGACGAAACAGAGCAATATCTTCCGATTGAAGTGCTCCGTTCATAATTATGATTGGGGAATCAGAGGATATGATTCTCGCGTCGCTAGGCTCTTCGCCTTGAACTCAGGATCCATTATCGATCCCGATAAACCCTACGCTGAATTCTGGATGGGAACTCACGATTCCGGACCGTCGTTTTTAATTTCCGCTACTGAGAATGGCGGCTCGGTTGACTCCGATTCTACTTCCTTGAAGTCATGGGTTTCGGAAAATCCAAATGTCCTCGGCTATAAGGTCGTTGAGAAATGGGGCGCTGATATCCCCTTTCTGTTCAAGGTACGAACAACGCGTTGGTTGGTTCATCAAACCGATGATTTCATCTCTTTTCTCATTTCGAGCTTCGTTTTTAGGTTCTTTCTGTGGCGAAACCATTGTCGATTCAGGCTCATCCGGATAAGGAATTGGCGAAGGAGCTTCATATGTTGCAACCTAAAGTCTATAGAGATGCAAATCACAAGCCTGAAATGGCGCTGGCGATTACGGAGTTTGAGGCTCTGTGTGGGTTCATCAGTCTCGAGGTAAATTATTTCGATCTTCACCGCTCATTGGGAACCCCAAATCTTCCAGATGATCTGTCAATTATTGAAGTTCCGTGGATTTGTTTGTTTGTTTGTTCGATTTTTATGATAATTCCCTGTTTATCAGATTTCCTGGAGGCTTTGAATGATTATTTTAATGGTTCCCTTTGATTTTGTCTTCTTTAGTTTTGTTTGAATTTTGGTTCATATGGAATGTTATCTGAATTCTTAATATTGATCTACTTTTCTTAGTTGTTTAATGAATCATTTGGATCGATTAAACTATTATATATAAAGGTCTCTGTTGTCAGGCTTATGCTCAATCCTCTTTATACTTTTAATTTTCTTCGTTGACAGAACCTTCTTTTAGACTTGTTAATCTTGATGTGACGAGTAATCAAATATTTTATGTGTGGGTAGAACAGCTGAATTCATTGCTCATGTTTGATAATAAAATGTCTTATATGTCCTCCATTTGTGGCTTGATTTGATGTGTTCCCTTAGCTGCAAGATCGCTTTAACTTTTTGAGTATGACTTTTTCAATGTGTCGGTCATGAAGCAAAATTGGGAAGGAAAAAACGAGGTTGGAAGTTAATGCTTACTTTGTTCCAAATAGTTTTTCTTTTTTTCTCGGTTTTAGAGAACTTAACAAATAGCTAGCAGATATGAGGTTTTCTCTTTCGGGCTTCTCTTCGAGGTTTTTAAAACGTGTCTGCTTGGGAGAGATTTCACCATCCTCTCCAACCGATGTGGGGTCTCACAATTCACCCTCCTTCGGGCCTAGCGTCCTCGCTGGCACTTGTTTCCCTCTCCAATTGATATGGGACCCCCCAGTCCACCCCCTTCGGGACCAGTGTCTTCTCTGGCACATCGCTAGGTGTCTGGCTCTAATACCATCTGTAACAGCCCAAGCCCATAGCTAACAGATATTATCCTCTTTTGAGCTTTCCCTCAAAGTTTTTAAAACGCGTCTACTAAGGAGAGGTTTCCACACCCTTATAAAAAACGCTTCATTTCCCTCTCCAACCGATGTGGGATCTTACGTTTTTGTTTTTCTAGTTTCTCAGCTGCTGTTTTGGGAAAGAATTCATGGTTTTGCTTCCCATATTGAACATAGTTTCTCATCTGCTGTTTTCTATTTCTTTACAGGAGTTGAAGGATGTTCTTCATACTGTTCCTGAGATTGTAGAAATGATTGGCGATGCAGACACAAACAGAGTGTTGTTGTTAAATGATGAAGACGATGAAGACGACCTGAAGTCTGCTCTGAGGTCTGCTTTCACCCAGTTGATGTCAGCATCCAAATCGTTGATTTCGAAAGCGATATCTGAATTGAAGAGACGACTGAACTCCGAAAGTGAGGTAGCTATGCAATGTTTTATTTGGTTTTCTATGCAACATTTCTTCTTCTAGTGATCCATTCTTTTTGCCTGTAGAATGTAAGTCAACACGTTTCATTCTTTCTGTTACAGCAACATGGACCAATGAAGAATTAGTGTTCCTGTAAAATTGATTTTTACTAGATTTCATTCTAAGATTAAACTATATGTTTTGAAGTACATTTCTTGATGGAACTCTGTAAACACTGGTTTTTCTGTTTGATGTTTCTTGGTTCTTTCTGTATCTGTCTCATAGTTCATGTTTGAAGTACACTTGTTCCTGGACTTTTGGAGTAGCGCGTTTGCTTATTTAATCTTTCTTCAGGTGAGGCCCCTAACTGCTAAGGAAGCTTTGGTTTTACAACTGGAGAAGCAATATCCAGATGATGTGGGCGTTATAGCAGCCTTCTTCTTAAACTATGTGAAGCTCACTCCTGGAGAAGCTCTGCACCTTGGTGCAAATGAGCCTCATGCATACATAAGCGGTGAGTGTATCGAGTGTATGGCGACGTCCGATAATGTCATCCGGGCTGGCCTAACTCCCAAGTTTCGTGACGTCCAGACTCTCTGTGCCATGCTTACGTACAAACAGGTAAACTTTAGCATCGAACCATTCCAACAATTTCCCTTGGAAGAAACAATGTGACGTTCTTGTATGTTCATCCATCGACAACTGAAAACGTGTATGTTTGCGTGAAAATGACCAGAAGACTGACATGTGCTTGGTGGTTTGATCTACAGGGCTTTCCTGAAATCCTCCAAGGAGTTCCCATGAATCCATACATAACAAAGTACATTCCACCATTTGACGAATTCGAGGTAGATCGTTGTGTTCTGCCAGGAGGGGCATCCGTCGTATTTCCAGCGAGCCCGGGTCCTTCGATATTTCTGGTTGCGGGAGGAGAGGGGACGATGCTGCACGAAGAATCACATAGAAGTGATGTAATCAGTGAAGGTGACGTCCTCTTTGTACCTGATGAAGCTGAGATTAATATAACAAGTGAAGTTGAGTTGCTCATTTTTAGAACAGGAGTGAACCACAAGTTCTTTGACACATTCATGAATGGTAAATAACAGATTGACCTTCATTCTTTTTTCTTTCACACACTCCTCTAAGATAGTTTCTTATGATGATGTATATTTTTTTTCTTTGTTCATTGAGTTGTATATCAGAAACTAATTGTTTATGATCTGTTTATTTGTATATCAGATATAACAATTAATTCCAATAACACTACAATTTCAATGTAATTGTGAGTAAATAATTGCAAAATATTAACTATACGTTAGGTTCATAATTTAACATCGAAGATTTTCAATGTTTAAATATTTAAGTAAAGATGTTTGCGGGTGAAGACGAGGAAGCCTTTCTTGTCCTCATCATTATCCCTGCGAAACTCTCAATTTATTTTTGTGAGATTCTCCGCAGGGGTGCCACTTCCCGATCTCCATCTCTGTCATCTATTTCATATTTCTCATTTGTTATTATGGAGATTGGGATAGAGATTCCCGGTAAGAAATTTGCGGACGAGGTCGGATTCAATAGTTATTTTAAAGTTATTTTTTAATATAATATTTATAAAAGAAAAAGAAAAAAAAAATCATAATAAATTAATATATTGATAAACATTCTACCAACCTCAAATTTTAATATTACAACTTTAAAAAANAATTCATTGCTCATGTTTGATAATAAAATGTCTTATATGTCCTCCATTTGTGGCTTGATTTGATGTGTTCCCTTAGCTGCAAGATCGCTTTAACTTTTTGAGTATGACTTTTTCAATGTGTCGGTCATGAAGCAAAATTGGGAAGGAAAAAACGAGGTTGGAAGTTAATGCTTACTTTGTTCCAAATAGTTTTTCTTTTTTTCTCGGTTTTAGAGAACTTAACAAATAGCTAGCAGATATGAGGTTTTCTCTTTCGGGCTTCTCTTCGAGGTTTTTAAAACGTGTCTGCTTGGGAGAGATTTCACCATCCTCTCCAACCGATGTGGGGTCTCACAATTCACCCTCCTTCGGGCCTAGCGTCCTCGCTGGCACTTGTTTCCCTCTCCAATTGATATGGGACCCCCCAGTCCACCCCCTTCGGGACCAGTGTCTTCTCTGGCACATCGCTAGGTGTCTGGCTCTAATACCATCTGTAACAGCCCAAGCCCATAGCTAACAGATATTATCCTCTTTTGAGCTTTCCCTCAAAGTTTTTAAAACGCGTCTACTAAGGAGAGGTTTCCACACCCTTATAAAAAACGCTTCATTTCCCTCTCCAACCGATGTGGGATCTTACGTTTTTGTTTTTCTAGTTTCTCAGCTGCTGTTTTGGGAAAGAATTCATGGTTTTGCTTCCCATATTGAACATAGTTTCTCATCTGCTGTTTTCTATTTCTTTACAGGAGTTGAAGGATGTTCTTCATACTGTTCCTGAGATTGTAGAAATGATTGGCGATGCAGACACAAACAGAGTGTTGTTGTTAAATGATGAAGACGATGAAGACGACCTGAAGTCTGCTCTGAGGTCTGCTTTCACCCAGTTGATGTCAGCATCCAAATCGTTGATTTCGAAAGCGATATCTGAATTGAAGAGACGACTGAACTCCGAAAGTGAGGTAGCTATGCAATGTTTTATTTGGTTTTCTATGCAACATTTCTTCTTCTAGTGATCCATTCTTTTTGCCTGTAGAATGTAAGTCAACACGTTTCATTCTTTCTGTTACAGCAACATGGACCAATGAAGAATTAGTGTTCCTGTAAAATTGATTTTTACTAGATTTCATTCTAAGATTAAACTATATGTTTTGAAGTACATTTCTTGATGGAACTCTGTAAACACTGGTTTTTCTGTTTGATGTTTCTTGGTTCTTTCTGTATCTGTCTCATAGTTCATGTTTGAAGTACACTTGTTCCTGGACTTTTGGAGTAGCGCGTTTGCTTATTTAATCTTTCTTCAGGTGAGGCCCCTAACTGCTAAGGAAGCTTTGGTTTTACAACTGGAGAAGCAATATCCAGATGATGTGGGCGTTATAGCAGCCTTCTTCTTAAACTATGTGAAGCTCACTCCTGGAGAAGCTCTGCACCTTGGTGCAAATGAGCCTCATGCATACATAAGCGGTGAGTGTATCGAGTGTATGGCGACGTCCGATAATGTCATCCGGGCTGGCCTAACTCCCAAGTTTCGTGACGTCCAGACTCTCTGTGCCATGCTTACGTACAAACAGGTAAACTTTAGCATCGAACCATTCCAACAATTTCCCTTGGAAGAAACAATGTGACGTTCTTGTATGTTCATCCATCGACAACTGAAAACGTGTATGTTTGCGTGAAAATGACCAGAAGACTGACATGTGCTTGGTGGTTTGATCTACAGGGCTTTCCTGAAATCCTCCAAGGAGTTCCCATGAATCCATACATAACAAAGTACATTCCACCATTTGACGAATTCGAGGTAGATCGTTGTGTTCTGCCAGGAGGGGCATCCGTCGTATTTCCAGCGAGCCCGGGTCCTTCGATATTTCTGGTTGCGGGAGGAGAGGGGACGATGCTGCACGAAGAATCACATAGAAGTGATGTAATCAGTGAAGGTGACGTCCTCTTTGTACCTGATGAAGCTGAGATTAATATAACAAGTGAAGTTGAGTTGCTCATTTTTAGAACAGGAGTGAACCACAAGTTCTTTGACACATTCATGAATGGTAAATAACAGATTGACCTTCATTCTTTTTTCTTTCACACACTCCTCTAAGATAGTTTCTTATGATGATGTATATTTTTTTTCTTTGTTCATTGAGTTGTATATCAGAAACTAATTGTTTATGATCTGTTTATTTGTATATCAGATATAACAATTAATTCCAATAACACTACAATTTCAATGTAATTGTGAGTAAATAATTGCAAAATATTAACTATACGTTAGGTTCATAATTTAACATCGAAGATTTTCAATGTTTAAATATTTAAGTAAAGATGTTTGCGGGTGAAGACGAGGAAGCCTTTCTTGTCCTCATCATTATCCCTGCGAAACTCTCAATTTATTTTTGTGAGATTCTCCGCAGGGGTGCCACTTCCCGATCTCCATCTCTGTCATCTATTTCATATTTCTCATTTGTTATTATGGAGATTGGGATAGAGATTCCCGGTAAGAAATTTGCGGACGAGGTCGGATTCAATAGTTATTTTAAAGTTATTTTTTAATATAATATTTATAAAAGAAAAAGAAAAAAAAAATCATAATAAATTAATATATTGATAAACATTCTACCAACCTCAAATTTTAATATTACAACTTTAAAAAAAAAAAAAAAAAAAAAATACAATTATATCTTTGGCCCATTTATCAAAGATGGAAAATGTTGGCCACTTCCTCTTCTATTCTTCCATCTCTATCTCTATTCTGAATGGGAAATCCCTCCCCGTTCAACACAGGTTCTTACGTTAAAATGAATATCTCTTTGAAGTAATGATAATACCCTCATGCTAAGGGATTTTATGAGTTGAGTTTAAAAGAAAAATCATTGAAGGGATTTTATGAGTTGAGTTTAAAAGAAAAATCATTTTGGTTTCAAGTCCAAGTGAATAGTACCCGTACATAAAGGGGATCACTTATCTTAACTAACCATATAAGAAACAAACCAAAAACTTAATCATGTACGTAAAATTCTTGAGTATCGATCAATAACTAACCATATAAGAAACAAACCAAAAACTTAATCATGTACGTAAAATTCTTGAGTATCGATCAAAAGTGTAAGTCGCATGATAGTCTCATCGGAAAAAATTCTTCCTATTATTTATATTAATCATTTATAAAACATTTAATGCTATATTCCATTTATTTTATTTAGAATTTAATATCCTATGAAGTAATTAATTATTTTCTATATGGTAATATGGATCCACGTCATATAAAATAATATATTACTTCATAGGATATTAAATTCTAAATAAAATAAATGGAATATAACATTAAATTTTTTTCAATCCTATAGAATCATTTATAAAACATTTAATGTCTTAAGCAGAGTTATGAATCTATTAAATAGGTTACAATAATTAATATACTTAAAGTTGGAGTAAATTTTAAAATCAGACATGAGACATGTTATAACACCAATAAAAATAGATTTTAGATAAAATAAAAAGTTTGAGCTAAAACGATAATAAAATGTTTTAGCTAAAACAATGTAAATAATAAATAATTAAATATTTAATGATCGGATGAAATACCTAAGAGATTTACTTGTCTTTGTTACGTTCCATTCAATCTTTTAGAGGTCCCTACTTTACCTCGACAATTATGTCACGTCACGATGTCTTTTAAAGTCTATATGCGATGGGTAAACTCTTTAACCAGGAAATATTTGATTATTTTTCGAAAAGAAAAAGGAATGGTTAATTACAAAAAAAAAAAAAAAAAAAAAAAAAAAAAAAAAAAAAAAAAAAAAAAAAAAAAAAAAA